TTACCGGAAACCCTTTATATGTTGACATGATTACAAATATGCCATCTAAAACTATTTTTACCGCCCAAAATGACAGATTGCGGTAATTTGTGTAAGAACATTTGAAATGTATGCCAACGCCCGTAAATATGAAGCGATACCGGGAAAATGTATATAACAATGTCAAAATTCCCGACGAACATATCAAGTGTGCAGGAACTTAAAATAAGAACGAAAATAGCACGGGACGCTTGAAAAGAAGTAAAAAATGAATAAATCTGTAGAAAAATGCTTCAAGTCATTCACAGTGAACACAAAAAAATTCAAAGCCTTTTGAACTGACAGCAGTGTTAATTTTAAATTTTCCATTTTCCCGAAGAAAATGATATCGTTTCAATTTTTTTTCAAGTAGTTCGGACTTTCGCTCGGTAAAATTGCGATCGGAAGTACGGGCATATGATGTGCTGCTCCGTTGTTGTTCGATATCAATGCCATCCTCATAATGAGTTTGACATTCAATACCATTGTTTCCATAAATGCTTGAATTAAACGTTTGTGCATCATTTGCAAATGGTATCGTTTTTAAGTTCCACAAGACAAAATCAATGTACTCAAGTATTTTTGTCTGCTTCGTTTGAATAAATAAGAGAGCAACCCAAAGAAGACACTTTGCATCAAGTAGCAAATATTACGACGTTTCATTTATGAGAAATTTCATATTGCTTCCCATTTCCAGTCAAATCAATTAATTTCGCATCAATGCGCTCAATTTTTTTTTCTTAGCTCTTCTTTGGCAGAGGATTATGCTTTCAAGGCATCAGCGATGAAAAGACGAATTACAAAACTGTTATCTTTACGTCAGTCTGCTTCGTATCTTGTCTCGTTTTTTTTTTAATTTGTGTTTATTCGAAAGCGAAACTTAAATAAATTTTTATAGGTTTTAGTTGTTCGCAAATGCTACCATATATCGTTGAGGCAGCCGTCTCAAGAGAAAAAAAAAGAGAGGAAGAAGAAAGAGCGGTCTCAGGCAAGCAACAGAAAGCCTTCATGTGCGCGCTGTGTGATACACTTGAAAGGAGAGGAGAGTACGTGTGCAAAAAAAGCGGTGCGCTTTATTTTATGAGCAGTAGTATCAAACGAGCGGCAACAACATCTTTTCAGATAGTAAAGGAGAACGAAATCATACGCACTGACGTGTAATATCACTTCAAGCATCGTATGATAAGAGTGAGACAGAGCAAAATGCTATTCACATGCACACACAGGAATTTCACGCTTGAAAAAGCACATAATATGAGTTAACAGCATGATGCGAACGTTCGGAAGCACAACACACTTGATTGCTGCTCACACACATAGTTGAGGCGTAAGCGATCTACTTCACATATGGTTTGGAACATCTTGTTGCTTCCTGTGCGAAAAAAGAAATCTCTCAACTGAAATTGAGAACAGCGTACTTGTTCGTGTTTCTTTTTCTTTTCTTCGGTGAAAGAAGAAAAAACAAATCTCAGTACCGTCTATCGAGCTTTGGTTTTATCTAAAATGCTTCCATTCGATTTTGCCGCTTTTGATTCAATGAGCAATTTTTTTTATTATAAGATGACGAGAGCGATAGGGAGAAGGAGAGAAAAGTTCTCAGCAAAATTAAAAACAGCAAAGAGCACACAACAATCAACTGATTTCAATTTTGTTGTGAGGCTGAAACGCAGCACGAGTCGCTGTGAATTGTTTTGTTGCTGGCCGAAAGGATTCATGTTGATTTTTTCCATGCTTTGAGTTTATTCTGGTTGAGCGTTATGCTCGAGACCATAGTATTCGGATGAAAGAAGCGTAAAATTAATAGATTTTACATACAATTTTTTTTTGCACAGCATTTTCGCTGGAATCTCGAGAAAATTGCATTTTTCCGCTGAAACTCTCTGCTTTTCTTTCACGTAACAGACAGAGAGAATGAACTGAATGGAGCAAAAAAAAGCGATTTGAATAAAGCAGAAAAGAATATTGTCAAACTTATCCAGCAGGTATTTGAAGTCATCAACTTGATAATAATAAATTTATTTATGGGTGAAAAAGAAGCATTGCTGCGCTTTTATTCTTACGACTTTGGCGTCGAACAATGGCAAATGCATTTGAGTTTACACCCCAACAAAACAATGCCCCAACATTATTTATGCGAATTGAAATATGAACAGAAACACCATGATTACGCTTAAAAGTTCTTATGGTTGAAGCGTTTCATTTTCTCACAATATCACCCGCTAACTTTTCCAACAATCATATCGCGATGCTGTTCACTGGAACTTACTGAAATTGCTTAGCAGCAGCACATCGAATCAAATTGAATGATGTATTCAGTTAAATGGAAAGGACGAAAGAAGAACGCTTCTTTGTATGGCACACACAAGAAAAGAAAAGCAAAACTTAGTTGTCAACTGTATGCATGCACCGTTTTTTTTTCTCACGAAATTTCAGGACATTTAATCATTTCGTTGAGAAAGCGAAAGAAAAATCGGCGAAAAATGTGCAGAACGTAATCGCAAACATGATTCAAAACAAGATTCCGCACAAGTGTCATGCACATTCAAACACAATGGAATCATAAAATATGAATTATTCATGAATCACGACCAATGCACCGTCCGCAATAACTCACATAGTAATTGTCCTAATAGTTTTATATTTGCGCTGGTTTGTGTTTCCTTGCACAGTTTATTGTATTCCAGATAAGGGAGAGAAAATAAAGTTGAAGCAGGTAAAAAAAAGTTGGTCAAAGAAATCAGATTCGATAGGATTCATTTACTTTTACATGGCGTTTTAGGTTTTTGCTCTATAATAATACTTATGAACTTGCGATAACCGCACATTGGACGGCTACGTGGTTTCGCGGTTGTGCATTTGCAATTTTCCTTCTTCATTTACGTATGGGCGAGCTGTTATGTGTGTGTGTGTGTATGAAACGAAAGTAGTGCATTCTTGCAAATGAAACACAGTTTAAAAAAGGCGGTCAACTCAACGCTGCTCGAAGCGAAAAAAAAATCTAAATAAAAATGCATTTCATTGGAAAATGAATAGAAAAAAAACTCGGTGCAATTCTTTTCGATTAAAAATTACCTAGTTATTTTCAGAATTATATCGAACATGATATGAATTGTGAGCGCGCAAAACGTGCTTCATAAACTGCGAAACTTTTTTCGTAAATTGAACGGAATTTTTCTGGCTTCAGCTCGTAAAAACCGACAACTTTGATGGAAAAAAATGTGGGTTTTCCTTCGTTGTTATTTTCGATTCAAATGAGCAAAATAAAATGGCATTCAAACACAAAAAGTGCATTTCATTTGGTTTATTAATATTTTGCTCTGGTTCAAATAACAAGCCAACTTTTCATTTGCCATCGTGTGTTAAATGCAGAAATAATAAGAAACTGCTTATAAATGCATAAAACTCGATATGCATTTAGCTCATTGTAAAGCACAGTACACGTGACTTTGTTGTTGTTTGTCGAATTAATCAGCGTCTTTTTATGGCTTGTGCAATAAGTTTTATGCCAATGCGTGTCGACGTCCTTTATTTTCATTGAAATGTGAAAGAAAAAAAAACAATTGATTTGAATTTTGCTCGCAAAACGAATGAGACGGAACAAAAACAACGAGTTCAAGTGGTGCATTTGCAATTTACAAAGCCGATTTTCAATATTGAATGACATAAACTAAGAGTCATAATAACATTGAAGCTAATAGAATCATTGTTGGTTGTGTTTGTAGATAATGGAAATCAATTGGCGGTGTGTGTGTGACTGTCAAACTCCACTCTCCCTCCGCCCACATTATAATTGGAAAACACATTTAGGACTTCGATAATGAAAATCATTTGTATAACGTTGTAACACCGATAACAGGACAGCGACGAAGCACAAAAAGTGTCGTCAGTTGATGTTTTCGGTTGTGATTCGAAGCACACCTCATTGTGGATGGAAACTGATTTGAGATCGTTTCCATGCGATTTGAGTCCATTGTTGATTGGCCTAATGAACACCCATTTCAATTTGAGACCCACAATCATTTGTCATCATTTTTGGGTTCTTGTTTTGTTATTCACCACGTGGAAACGGCATATCGGCAATTCCACACGAAATTTACATATAAATCGCAACAAGACTATATTTTCCCTAGTTGCACATGGTGAGTTAGATACGCATTTTATTTATCGACGACAATTAAATATGTAAACATAAGTCGAACGCTTGTTGGTTTCACCATTCATCATAAACAACACAGGGAAGGAGAAAAAGAAATCAAAAAAGCCCCATTTTAACGATATCATTTGAATATGCATGTGCGACATAAACATTTTACTACTCATACCCATAACATTTCACATGAATATATTATATCGTCGATAAAATCCCCTCAAATAAATTAAATTGAAATAGAAAAAAAACGCGAACAAACAAATAGCGATTCTTTTTTTCTTTTCTCTCTCTCGCTGGCTTAATGAACGAGTCGCTTTGATTCGAATCGTTCAATTGACATGCAGTCAACAATGTATTTTTTCCATATTTCTGTCGAACACAATTGCACATGAACAGAGAAAAAAGAAGCGCGAGTCATTTTGATTCAGTTAATAAATTCATTTTATGATGTAGGTCGTCATAAGCGGCTCAAAAATACAATCAAGCACAAATTGATTTATTTCGTTTGTTTTTCGCTTTGTGTACATGTAAAATAGCGAGAATAATTTACCATTGTTGATGGATGAAAAAAGTACCTTACAGAATGGCATTTAATAACTTGATTTGATTTCTGTTTACTTGGTTTTTCATTTTTATTTTTTTTTTTTCAACTCGAAACCGATTCAATAATTTTTCCTTTTCATCGTTGTCAATAATAATTGATTCTGTTGAATGTAATGAAAAAAAAAATTGATATTAAAATTAACTTTTCCCAATTGCAATAATAAATTGATGCATATTTTGTTTGATTCAATATATAATTAATTGATGTTTCATGTTTTTAATCTTGCAGAGAATCGTTTCATTTGTGAATGCCGTTTACGATGGATTTTCGACTTGCACAATCAGACAAAGAATCGTGAATTGAAACAATCATTGGAGCGCATAACTTGTATGTTGGAGCATGCCCACCAGGTGGTCAACGATAATGCATTGAATGATCCACGCTATCAGATTCACTTTGAGACCAATCCACGTAATGCTCAGCCCATGGATTTCGATGTACATAATGATTTGAGCATACCAACGAATCACATTAACGAGCGCCATTCATCGTCCAAACTACACTCATCCGAAAAAGTCGAACTCCTAAACTTGAATCCAAATCAATTGCCATGCGAAGCGGTAACTGATCCCACTGAGCTGCCATTGCAACGCGAATCAGTGTCTGGCTACGATATTGGCGGCTTCAAACTATTCGCATCATCAGGCAGTTCCCATGATATTGCCACAAATTTCATTGTCACTGCCATTTTGGCCATTTCCACCGCGATAATCCTGTCATAAAATCACTAATGCGATATACACAGGAAGTGACTTCTTTTTTTTAAATGAAAATCGATAAAATATTTTACCGTGTTTTCCAATTCAATTAATTAGACATCTTCTTTAGCTTTGATTTTTGCCACTTTTTTCAATTCATTTTCGTCCATGACTTCATTGTTTTTCCCCCAAGCCTAGGCACTCTTTCTACTTTCGTTTCTATTTTAGCTTTAAAAAGAATACAAAATGAATTCATACTCTATATTCTTACACTAGACCAGATGGCATGACAAAAAAAAAAACAATTTATGTGGACGATTATAGCTATCGGTGCAGAATTATATGTCATACAGTTTTAAAGAAGAAAACAGATAATTTGATGAAAAACTTATTACGTGTACACCCATATAGCAGTTAAGAATTGCATTTGAAATTGACATTCAAAACATAAACGAAAAATTGGAAATGGAATCACTAGTTAGGCAAATATTATCCCATTGATTTCATTGTAGCGTGCCCCTCAAAACAGAAAATTCCAAAAAAAAAACAATCATTTAAAAACGAACAGCCGAAAGAAGTAGAAGAAGGAAATTTGAAACGAGTCGGCGAATTGGGTATTTGAATGAAAGACAAATTGAAACGTTGTTAGTATTTTTTTTTGGAAGATATAGACGTGGCCGGTTAGATTTTAAATGAGCAAATCTTCACTTTGTTGAGTTGACCGAGATTCAATGTATCTGATAAAATGTAGATGTTTAAGTCAGTTTATATACCAGGATAAATCGTTTTTTGCTCAGCCGCACTGAAACCTGTTTGGTCCATCGTTCTCGGACACCATTCAACATCATCTCGTTCGATCGACATACAAGCCATGTCGAAAAACGATTCGCCAAAAAGCACGTTTTAATCTCTTTTGAAAGAAAAAAAAACAAACACCTTGATGACAAATTAAAATAGACAAAAGAAAACATTTAAAAAAATCGTAAAAAAATATTTTTGTGTAAAACAATCAATGAAAGGAAATACCAGGTAAATGGTGTGGTTGGGAAAGAGATAAATGAATAAAGGAGAAATCCACACGAGAATTTAAAAGAAAAACAAACCAAATTTAAAGGCAAACTTATTCTTGTTATTAGATTGTCGCAAATGTTCGTCAGCATAAGTATAAGTTAAACAAGTAACACAGCTAAGGCCAAGAAGTTCATGTATACAAAATCGACACTACATAAATGGCGTCTTATTCGATGTATGTACGTGTGATTCTATTTGCCTGTCTATGCATCCGAATACACATGGCAGAAAAGAATGGAAGAGAGCAGAAATTAAAAGTCGACGAAATGAATTTCGGCCAAGATTTCACCGAGGCTCTAAGATTAAATGATGATTTAAAATATTTTGAAGGGTATTTTTTAAACAATAAACATTTTTTTTTTCGCTTAATGCAATTTGATTATAAGATTGTTGAATTTAGTGCATTCGATCAAAGATCCAGCATGCAGAACAAACGACCAATGTTTTGGTAAATGTGGATATGGAACACACACGCATGTGTTCATGCGTGCAATACAAATGCCAAACATTCGTTCTGCATCCAGCATCATCTTTGAATTTCTTCACCAAGCTCTTAAAACTACTCACATTCTTTTTTTTCTGTTTGAACACACGTTCTTTTGACAGCTATGTTCAACTTTGATTTACGTTTCAGTTTAAATTCATTTCCAATGTGCTTACTTCGGTTTTGAAACTATAATATTCCTATATTCGAATTAATGAGTGTGACAAACATTTTAAAACTATTCGAACACAAAATGTCTGTCAATTTTTTTATATACAAAAAAAAAGAATATCTTTAACAAAAAAAATGCAACCAAAAAAAAATGAACAAGAACGAACAGAATTTCGATTGAATTTTAGCAATTTTTTTTCTTTTGTATCGTAAATATTATGACTTAAATTAATCGATTACACATTTACAATAAATATAGACATGAGAAAATTATTGTGGATTTAAATGTGAAATACATTCAAATGCATAAAATCAACAATATACATTGAACAACAAGAAAGAAAAAATGAAACAGAATATTGTAAACGTTTAGTTTTTTTGAGAGAAAAAAAATGATGATAAAAATTGATGAAAAGAATACTTTAAACTTAAGATATATTTAGGTCTAAGTCAGCGTTGCCCCACACACACAAAAACAATTTATTAACCAAAAAAAAACATGCAGAACACATCACATCCGACCTTTTCAATGTACTCACACTCCATTATTATATTGATGTATTCGAATGCATACCAAAAGCAGATTATCAATACGATAATTTGTTCCGCGAAAATTCGAATTTAATGTAAACGTGCGTGCGCCCTTCCCCACAATACTGCAATCGATTGATCAGAATCGGGCCCCGGTGAATGTGAATGTGTTTTATATGTACTGTTCCACCTCGATGTCGACCTTCTCAAACACTAAATGTACACACAACAACCAAATTTATTGATAATTCACGTAATATTACTGCGAATCGAAATAGAAGAAAAACCAACACAATTTTAACTGCGATGCAACTAAGTGAAAAATGCAACCAATAAATATTTCAAAATAAAAATAAAACCAATGTGTGTGTCTTTCAATTGTCATTGTGTTATTTTCAGCCCACACAGATCTGCTTAAGTGCACCATAAACAGCGACAATATTCTAAATAAAAGCAGCGGGCATAAAGGTAAGTCACCGTTTTTGGACCCAATTCATCAATATGTATCGAATATACATACATAATTAGAGGGAACTGTCTGGTAGACTACTAATAAAATCATATAAATCTATGAATATTATGGCATATTATTACTGGAGACATATTTTGTTATTCAGACGATTGCGTGCAGTGACTTTATTTCGGGGAATAAATTTCAGCAATGCAAACAACGTTTTTCCATTCTATTTAATAAACTAACATGATCGATTCGGATAGTATCATAGTGTCGTTGTCCTGATTTCTACATGCACTATGACATTGTGAATAGCTGCACCGAATAGCAATGAGTAGTTGGTTCAATACTCGGCGGACGCTAAATTATCATTAGGCGGCTTTATATAATGTCTCATGGAAATTATTGATTGGCCGCGAGGCGCACACTTTTAGTAGCTCTATATCGAAAATAACGACGACAATTTGATCCCGAGTATATCGATTTAACCGTTGTAAAACGCTATTGATTGATATAAATAATGTGGAACGATACTCTAGCAATATACGATGAGAGTTAACGATTCAGCCTGAAATATACTTTTATATCGGAACCACATGAAATATAATCAAAATGATGAGCATTGGAACAATAAAAGTAAGTTGCTGTCGTGTATTACACTGTAATTACTTAGCATGCGCTATTATCCAATATGTTAAATGTCAGTGTGAATGTAATACAAACAGATGAATAATTTCTGGAGCAGCAATTCAAAGTGGAAAAATGTTTATCAAAGTTTCTTCATGAAAAAGTAACAAGCCACGTGAGTGTCTTTCGAGTTAGAAGTAGACTTGTTAGAGAAAGCGGACACAGTATATAGAAAACTAAAATGTAGCTGCTTAATCAAGACCCAAATCAAGATGGACGGTTTCGTAAATGAGCTCTTGTGAGAATGGCGAAAATGTTTGCACAACGTAATTAGAGCTGAAAGCAAGAAATAAACAAATAAATTGAGACAAAATGCAGGCACATACATACAGGAAGGCACCGAAATAGCAACATTCTTTGGTATTTTTGTGGTTTCCGTGAATAGAGTTATATTTGCCATATTGAGCAATATACATGTTGTCAACATGAAAATTTTAGCCTGGGAAATTTATCTAAAGTTTTTGATGTGTAGTCAACCATCTCCTCCTCCTCCGTCAATCTCCCAGAAGAAACACATGCCCAACCAATTTACGAAATATTTTGATACAATTTACACTGTATGAATGGTTTTTCAGTTGTCAAGGGGATTATGGGATGGCAAAATAACATTGTCAAACAAAATGATTTCAGTGTACACACACAAAAGGAGACATTCGCTCGCCTCTTATCAACGGCAACGTTAACCATTGTTTTTTTATTCGAACCTAAACATAATTCCATTCACAGCGTATTTATTCGCAGCTGAACAACGTAGGACTCTCTTTTTCTCTGTGTTTGCGTGTCTTATTCTCTTTCTCTTTCTTTTGCGGTCCAGTGGGAACGAGGGAAGAAGAAAAACGAACACAATGAATACGTAATGAATTCCAGCAATGAATATACTTTTGCCGTGGAAACGGATAGGCTACACAATGTCCGATTTATTTCTCGCCCCTAATACTTAGCGCTCTTTTTCTGTGCTCCGTCCGTTCTCACTCTCGATCTTCAAGATGTTTTCGCCTCGACCCGCATTCACTGGCCATTTTCCTCCTGTTATATGAACACTTTATCTGACACTCGAACACTAGCACATAAACTGTGTGTGTGCAGTGTGCACGAGAAACACAGTTGCGATGCAGTACATATACATGCCGAGAGTTTGCATTTAATGTTCATTGTAGCCAAAGGACAGTCATTATTTAATGCGAATCATGTATTACATATTCTCATACCAAAAACTCCATGCAACACCGGAACATAGAGAAATTGATGATGAACGAGGAACATGCATAGACAATTATGACAAGAATTACCCAAAACGATGACAACTTTAAATCTTTAATGCAAAAAGATTATACCATATTATTGTTGTTGGGTTGCAGTCAGAAAATGTGTTGATACGTGTACACTTTTCCATTTGAATGAATTAATGGACGCAAATGGACGCATACGATGTTGAATATCCAACTAATCGAAATCCATATGTGTCAAACTTTTATAGCGTGAAATTGAAGTTAAACCGTAATTCATCCGGAATGATGGGGGAATCACATTGTAAGTACTATTTCAACATGAAAACTGAAATTGTCGAACATCTTCATCAAAGCTCCGACTCCGATTGGTAATTCATCGATTTTTTCGATTGCTTCCATTTTCCATTGAGGCAAATGAATTAGAAATTCTACACGGTCACATTGCACGCCGAAATTAATAATTAAATGTTCGGTCGAACGTAAACGATTTCCATTTCATACTGTGAATTGAAAATGCATCAAGTCGTTTTTTTTTGTGGCAGTGATATTGGACAAACACGACATTCTACTCTCCATTTTGTCAGACGTTTCCATTTGTATTGTAAAGAAAAAAAACTCTTTTCCTTAATTGGTTTCCCTTTTACAGTTTGATCCCGTTTGATTTACATCCGATGTTATGCGATCGATTTTCCATACGAAATAAGGCACAATTAATGGTGAATGAAAAAAAATGTTCGTTCCGTGTTTCGACTCAAATGGCATGGCCATTAAAAATAAATGCAAGGAAAATCGAAAAGTAGTCGACAAGAGAAAGAGGAGAGAAAAAAAACCAGGCATATAGAAAAGCTCATGCGAACGGAATAAATTAAAAATGAAGGCACTTGAAGCACAACGAATAGTGTGTACTTCTCTAAAATGCCCGGACGGATAAGTGAGCGTAAATTTTTAATTGAATCGCACAAACACATGCAATTAAACGTTTCTATAATTGCGACCATTCACCACATATTGCAAACTCAGCTCGATTCACTGGCCATACCATATAACACTTTGCGCACAATTTTTATTCATCCACTTTACACAATCACAAATGAAATTGCAGTTTGTAAAGAAGATTTGCCATATTTCACAATCACATTTTCGATGGAAGGACACAACGTACGGTTTTTGCCGTCAACAATTCAACTTGTTGAATCCAAGGTGTAATCTGAATTGTTGAAAGGTGATGTTACCAAAAAAACCAACGTTTGAATCATACATTACAGCGTATACAAATGTTATGAGTATACTATACTATAGTCTAACTCCTTTGATCTCTTTTGTATTGCACACTCCCTTGGTGGCTTCGATGTGAATTGAAATTCATTGAGTCACTTTTTTTCTCCGTGAAGTTTGTAAAATTTTAATTAAATAAAATTAAGGGAACGTATTTCTTTGTATTGAAGTAATAATGTAATTGAGATTGTTGTAAATAGTAACCGGCGCACTGGTTACTACAAGATGGATTCATGAACTTGTTTGAAAAAGTAAAGCAAATATTTTTATATTTGATGCTGCAGCATCAGATCGAGCTTGCCATGCTCCTTTCAATATAAACTGAATCACAAACAACGTAGTTCCTCTATCGCTCTATTTGTTTGAGTATAATATTACTTTTCCGTACACAACGTGTCAAGGGAAAGTATAGGAATTGGTCCCGAAAACTTTTTTCGCAAAATTAGCTTAGATCATCATAAAAACTCATGAAACGCGTAGAAAACCACATTTTGAGACACTTTTTCGTTCGTGTGCCGTCGTCGTTGTCGTTGTCGTTGTCGTTGTCGTTGTCGTTGTCGTTGTCGTTGTCGTCGTACACACACGGTAAAATGTCTTTTTTTCTTAGTGTTAGTGATTTCGTACCAACACAACCAAAGTTTTTTTTCAACGAAAAAAATTCTTCGTAGTAGTAAAAGAACTATTGTATAGATTCAAGAAACAAAATCACTAACACTAAGAAACAAAGACATTTTACCGTGTGTGTAGCTGTTTGTTAACACGATAACTCAAAAAAAATTGAGATAATCAAAATCTGGAAATGCCAAAAGTTTTGTATCCTAAAAACTTAGTTTAAGTTCGAAGATGAGCCATTTTCGATTTGAACCTGGGGTACTTGCCCTAAGAAAAACCTCAAAAAATTGACACTTTTGTATGGGAGGTACCCGTAAATCGACTTCGATTGGCTTCAAACTTTCTGTGATTTCATTTTTTGGGAAAAAAAAAGATTCTGAAAGTTTGAAACCAATCGGAATCGATTTACGGGTACCTCCCATACCATTTTTTTTAAATTTTAACTAAAATTACCAATTTTTGGACAATTTTGTATGGGAGGTACCCGTTAATCCAACAACGTATAGCACTGCACACTTTTTGTTGAAAAATCACAAAATTTGCCGTAGAGAACGCGCTTTCTTATGGACATTCCAATGGGGAATTGTTGGCGCCCTTTCGACGGTTTTTTTGATAACTAGTAGTGTTAGACGCTGTTGCGTTAATCGATTCTGATTGGCTTCAAACTTTCTGGGGTTTCATTTTTTGGAGAAAAAATAAGATTCTGAAAGTTTCATGTTGATCGCATTTGCGGAAGTTTGATTTTTTGTCCTCAATTTTTGTCGAAATTTTCTTGGAAAAAATTGAGGGCCAAAAACCAAACTTCTGCAAATGCGATCAACATGAAACTTTCAGAATCTTATTTTTTCTCCAAAAAATTAAACCCCAGAAAGATTAAAGCCAATGAGAATAGGTTTACGGGTACCTCTCATACAAAATTGTCGAAGTTTTAGTTAAAGTGACCGATTTTTTACTTTATTTTTATTATTATACTTTCACTGCCTTTATTTCAAGAAAATTCACAAAAAATAACCAAAAGTACCTACGAACAATGCAGGCCAACGGTACGGAAAAGTTCGGGATTACCAATGTAATTCTTTTTATTCTTGA